AAAAATACTAGTTACTGTCAGTGTAACAATTCATAATCTCCTTTCAATATAAAAAGACATGCTCTGTTAGTTTGTACACAAGTATGTACACGAGTACGACAGTATAACCGAATAATGTCTATCGTCCATTTATTATAAAGAAGTCCACTGAGCTGCCATGACAATATTGGCGTATACTGTTTTATACTGACAAGTCATAGGTAACGACATCAGATTATAATGGCATAACGTGCACTGCCAAAGTTCATCGCGTTAGAATAAAAGGCAAGTGGGAAGTTGAATCCGTCTTATTGCATCATTTTATAATGTAATCAATAACAGAAAATAATAAACATTTCTTACCACTTTCTGTTGCTTCGTTTATTCCCTACAAATTAAAGAGATAATCAATACGTGTCAAATCGAAAAATGTATCTAATGTTATATTCACTGAATACGATAACAATAAATGTTATGACCTACCAGCACAGATATTATACATAGTGCTGTAGTGGAAAGTGAAGGATAACCTCTATCTCTTGCCATGACTGTTAGTGTATACTCATCAGTTGATGTTTTAGAGTCAAGCGTATCTTTCAAGCCAATAACACCAGTGGATCTATTCACTATGAAACTATCAGTGGGCGGTACTACGTCTGTAATACTGTATACTATCTCAGCGTTTACACCACTATCCATATCAGTTGCCTACAAATATAACAATCCGAATAAATTGCTACATATATTGTATATTAGGCTTAATCTAGATATTGATGTAGGTTGTATAATGCTAGCTGTTAATAGTATAATGTAAAGTGTAAGGATTTCTGCAATTAATTGTAAGGAAGAACATAACTATTTCATAAAATATTGAAGTTGTAAGAAAGATGAGCAGGGTCCAAGTCGAAGTAGATTACTGTATGACCTGATAATGTATATGTGGATGGTATGCTTAAGTCAGGTGACATTTTGTGATCTGTTGTACATGTTTGTTGATAATTTAAAATAGCGGAAAATCCACCAGCGTTAGCAATGCATGCTATATGACAAGATCATCATTTTAAGTAGTCATTCGAAACAAACATTTTGGCTGCTTGAATTATTTTTTGTTGTGTAAAGAATTCAGTTTATAGATGTAACATCGCAGATTTCATCACAATCTGATATCATCAGTATACTACTATAGAACTACTGGCGACGACCACGTGAACAACAAATTCACATTTACAAAATTTACACAGTCACATACATACTATAAAGATCAATAGGGCCCGAAATAGAATATTTTCGAGCATATTTTTGTTTTTATTCTAGAAACAAACTCAAGTGATCGCTATAGTTTTTATTCTTTTTTTGTCAATTGCACATCCACTTCCGATTTGATATAAATACAATATGGCTACCTAACCAGTCACAATTTCGAAATTCAGTTGCAACACTGACGTGGTTTATTATGCGGCAGTATTCCTCGAGCAAATCAAGTGAATATGTATACACCACAATACGATTGGAAATAATTTCATAAGCCAGGGACTTTTTCGACTTGATCATTTAGATTAGTCAATAAACTAACAAAGTAAAATAATACTTGCACTTATTGGTAAAATCGATGTTCCTGCAGGTGAATTCTTATGTACATTGCCACTGTATTTGTCTTGAGTAAAGATGGGAGAATTGTCATTCATATCCATGACACGAATCGTCACATCCGCTGTACTTCTAAGACTTTCATCTGCTAAATCGTAAGCTAATACCTAGTAGTTACAAATTAAAATGTCGGTAACAGGGAGGCGAACTCGTGCAAAACAGAATATCTAGTCGATGTAGTAAGTTACTTCAGTACACCAATTATCCAATGGCTACAACAGACCTCTTTCCACATATGTGAACATTATTTAACATAAATACACATGGAAACATGAATATAGAATTAAGAATTGTAGCAGTGCTTTACTGTTTATCCACATCAAACATATATCATCATTCTTATATATATATATATACTAACCTGCAAATTAAACAGTTGTACACTTTCAAAATCTAAATATTCAGGATTTCTCACTTTGATAACAGCATGAGTTGAAAACAAAGCTCTGTCTGGACTCACATAAAATGCTTCACTTGCCACATTATTGTTAATAATTTTGAGGTTGAAAGATGCCATTTCTACAGTCTATGTTTAAAACAAAATAGCTGTTGGATGTGTATATATATATCTAACAACAATCTTTCAGATACAAATTGGTGGTATGCTATTTTAATTCAGTATTATAACAGATATTGTCATTGGTAATATTCCAGTTTTTAAATGCTTTTGCTGAATGAGTTATTGAGTGGTAATCGCTGGAAAGCTAAATTGTTTTATATTATATTATCATTTAACATTTCATTTCATTATTGCCCGATATTATACTGTTCCTACACGTACACTTGTGCCCTACGATTGGATTGCACATGTACATATCCAATACAATGTAGGAGATACAGTCATTCAATGTATCTCCACTAATAATCGTATTTCCCGGAAGTAGTGAGTAACATAGAAGACACATTTTTTTCCAAAGCATGATTTACAAATACGACATTCATTGGGTTATATATTACAACGATTTGTTTTCTACTGGAATTTTTGAAATGCCCCATATATATTATGCGATCAATAGTCATACTGTTCCAATTAGCACCATCATTACTCTTTAAATATGCAATGCATGTACAGATTCCAGAGGTGGTATGAACAGTTAAAGTGACTCTTGATGAGCATTACCCACAAGCACCAGTTTATCATTTCACACTTTGAAGTAGGACCAGGATTGATTTATATATCATCACTTATCAACACTAAGGTTAGTGGCACAAGATTTAAATAATCTACGTACGATATTAGTGAATTATTGACAATTTAATATTATTTAGTGTATGCAGTAAGCAATGAGGAATTCGACGAGATAATATATAAATTGAGAGCTGAAGGAAGACCACACTGTGTACTAGGTACTACGCTTATTTCGATACAGTGTGACGTATGTAATTCATCGTAGGTACAGCACTGCAATCGATGATTCGCCGAGGATTATCGACAAATACTTACAGAATCAGAATATTTAACAATCATGATGATGTTATGTATTATCCGGTTCATTTGTGAGTTTTCCTGAATGCTCCCATTATAGTAAGACTGGTCGAAATATGGTGACCCGTCTTTTTCAAGCAAAACAATAGTAACTACAGTAAATGTTGTAATATCGCTTAGAGGTTGATTATACTGGTCAATTTCTGTTGCCTATGAACAAATCATACTTCAAATTAGTGTCACAATTGAAGAAATCGTGGTAATACAGTGACGTGTACTCATTTCTACATATTATGTATCAATATTCCGGTAATTGGGTTGTTGTATGCGATTAAATTGTCAAATTATTATTGGAAAATATTCTTATTCAAATACTAGTTTCAAATGACAGCTATTATAAGTTGTGAAAAGGTCACAGTTTGAATTGACTTGAATATTAGTAGTAGTTATACAAACCAATATATCCCGACTTATATTGTTTCGTCATTTGAAATCGGACAGTGAAGTGTTTGAATACTCACAGTCAAATTGAATGTTATGATTCCATCCACAGTCTCTATAGCTCTCCGATCCAGCAGAACTAAAGTATATATAACACCTTTACCACTATCTGTTATAGTTTCAACCCAAAACAAATCTGCCACATTTTGTCCAGCTGTAGTTAAAATAGAATACAATAAATATAAGATAAACAAATGAAAAAAAATCCTAACACAACACACACACTATAATGAGATAATGACCGACTAGAACTAATGTCAATGACACTAAAAGTTCTTATACCATGATGTAAAACAGCACAACTGCATAACTAGTTCAACACTCAAAATAAGGATAATAGTAAATAATAATAGATAAAAAGTAATATTCAGTCTCTGTGGAAACTAGTATGACAAATGGGTCATAACCACATTCACCTATTGATTTCTATAATAAAACACGACATTGGATCTTTGTTTAGTGTTGTTCGATTTATTTTAACCAATTATCAATTATTATCAGTGCATTACAAGATGTAACAAAGAAGTCTGAGTTCACGCAATACTATATAGTACTATACAGCTGTAACTTACATACAATATCATATCGTATACGTTGTGGAACACCTAGATCACCATCTACCGCAAATACTTCCATCACTGTTGTATTCTGTCAATATATTAATTTCAACATACAAGTAAAAGAAATTAACGGTACATTGCTAACATTATATAGGTGAGGGAAAGATTCAATGTATGTTGAACATATGAACATAGCACAAATATTGTCTCAATCTGCTATTAGCCGTTTCATTAACATATTACTAACGTCAGATAACTATTCAACATTATGTCTGTCAATTTTAGCACCATCATGTGTAATCCATTACGCAAAACAAGCGGCACATCAGAAGATGAGTTGAAAAAATAAGTATTTATATTAAAGCGCGGTGGTCGTCGTGTAGCGTGTGTTCGAATTTCATATAAATAAACAATATATTTTACACGAGTTGTATACGTCGCTATGAGTCCCATATCGAACAGAACGCGGTGCGACGACTGCCGCCCTTTCATCCAAACCAAATAACAAAGCTGAGCATATAATAACGTTATAAAGACATACCACTGATTGATTTTCTGGGACATCAGCATAATATGGCAGACCAATAAACATAGGTGGCATGTCTTTAACATCTTTCACATTAACATAAAGTGTCGCACTGCTGTTAAGTGGGCCTGGATCTGTACCAAAATCCTGTATTTGAAGAAATGAATATCAGTAACGCGTAGTGATTATATTTGTTTACAGCATGCGAAGATTTACTCTGATCTGAAAACAGTATATTAAAGGATGACATATGCAGCAAAATATTTCTAACTGACCTCGGTCCGCAACTATATATATCATGCTACTACTGAATAATATTGCAGTATTTTCTGCACTGAAGTGACCACGCCAATTTAAATTACGGTGAGTTGGACGTATTCCAGGCATTTATAACAAACAATTACCAATTCAACAGTGTATTATTTTTTCATGATAATGCAATAGTTAGTGATCATTACATAAAATGGTATATTGTACTAGAACTTAAGGACAGAGTAACTATGCATAAAACAAACTCCAATCTAGTATTTATGAATATACAGTCTTGCATCAGGCTTTGACACACATTTATGGGCAGTTTCCTAGTTGAAAAATTCACGCCTACATCCGTGTGTGAATACATGTATATATGTGGGCTCACCTCAACCAATAGTTTTAGTGTATACACTCTCAAAGATTCATAATCCAAATTTCCAGTGAGGTAAATATCAGCAACTGTTGTTTTCTCCGCTACAACCGATGAGTTAATATAAAATATGTTACCGTATTCCTACAAAGTGTCAGTGAATTTAACAATTCAATTTAGGTACAATATTAGTGAATATAAACATAAATGAAGCGAATGAGGGGCGTTTACTGATCAGTAGCAATGAACCTATGCAGCATATACTGATCATATTACCATTTTTGTACTTTAATATTATTATACCAGAATTACTTAATTATTGTATTTTTTTCTATAAGTTCTTTGGATAAATATCGAGTGTATAAGCCACTGCGTGAGTAAATATATAAGAAGAAGTAAAAATGTGTATAATGAAAGATAATGATCAAATGACAAAGTCTTCATATCTTGAGGTATATTCATTCTAACTGTAGTGCCAGTGTTGCTAAATTGAAGAAGTGGCGATT